ATATTTTTTTTTGTGGAGATACAACTCAATTCGTCACAATTGTTTTGACTATTCTGGGTCCCTTACATTTCCATAGGAATTAAATGATTTGCTCGTCAATTTTTGCAAAAAGAAGCAGCTAAAATTTTGTTAGAGATCACACTGAATCTGTAGACCAGTTTGGGAAGTATAGCCATCTTAACCATATTAAGTCTTCTGCCTCATGAACATGGGATGTCATTCCATTTAGTTAGGTCTTCTTTAATTTCTCTCTCTCTCTCTCTTTTTTTTTTTTTTTTTTGGCGGCTGGCTGGTATGGAGATCTGAATGCTTGATGTTCTTGTTTTTACAATTTTTATATTTATATCAGTATCAGATTGTTTGTTGTGTAAAGAAATAACAATTTTTGGATTTCGAACTTGTAGACCATCATTTTATTTATTTATTTATTTATTTATTAATTCATTCATACATTCATTCATTTATTTACTTATTTACTTATTTACTAACTTACTTTTACTTACATACTTACTTACTTACTTTTACTTACTTACTTACTTACTTACTTACATACTTACTTACTTTTCTTACTTACATACTTACTTACTTTTCTTACTTACATACTTACTTACTTTTACTTAGTTACTTACTTACTTACTTACTTACTTACTTACTTACTTACTTACTTACTTACTTACTTACTTAAAAAAGATGACTAGTAAGGGGATCTTACCCCTTGTCTTGGTGTTGTAGCACCACGCTATCCCAAGTGAGCTAACCGGCCATACCTATATGGGATCTGAACCCATGGCCTCGGTGTTATCAGCCCAACACTCTCCCAGGTGAGCCATGGGCCAGACCTACAGCTGAGGAATTGATAACAACGTCCAAGGCCCCTTCACACCGTGAAGCTTCCAAACATACTTCCCAGTAACTTGGAGGTGACTCTCAGTCCCCAAAGATGCAACCTGAGCTCCCACCCGGGCAGCAGATCTCTTACACCCTCCCTTCATACCCTGAAGCTTTCGGTCCGAGCTACCAGATCCGACTCAGACATCAGGGAAAAAGGCATCAGGCTGACAGAAAGGGTGATGTGGAAAGAGTACAGCTGATCCTTCCGTGTGGCGTAGGGGTTGTGGATGACAGGGTGGACCGAGAAATACGGGGCGGATCAGGGACCAAGGAGGCGATGGCGACGCCGTTCGGTTGAGAAAGAGAATCGGCTTTCAGCTGAGCTAACAGATCTGACTCAGGCATCTTGGGAAAGATCCATCTGGTATCCAGAAAGGGTGATGTGGGAATAGTAGAGCTGATGGTTCTGTGTGGCGTATCGGACGTGGATGACAGAAGGGAAGGAGACATAGTGGGCGGAGCCAGGACCAAGGAGGCGATCGCGACGCCGTTTGGTTGAGAAAGAGAATCGGCTTGCGGCCGAGCTACCAGATCCGACTCAGGCATCTTGGGAAGATCCACCCATGTGCTGGCCAGAGAGGGTGATGTGGAAAGAGTTCTCCTTATCCTTCAGTGCTGCGTAGGGGACGTGGATGACAGAGTGGAAGGCGAAGTAGGGGGCGTAGCCAGGCCCAAGTTTAGGGAGAACTGATGTGTGGCCATGGCAACAAATAGCCAATGAGAAGGAACTTTCAATTGACCTAGTGATTGCTGATGTCACTCAGCAACCATTGGTCCACCCGAGGCCCCTGCACGCGTCCTCTTAGAACACTTGGGCTCCAGGGCTCGGACCGAATGCTCACTGGTGTTTAGACCTGCTGCTTGGTTGCCGGTCCCAAAGGGAGGCTTTTGAGTGGTGCTGTTGTGGCAGAGAGGTTGGCTTCTCCAAAATCGTATCGAGTAATATTCGCTCATACCGGCTTGAGAAGTGGGTAAGGGCCAAGGGGCCAGGTGAGGGGACGGGCCTCTGAATCTGCTGTCTTACAATGAAGAAGCTTTTTGACTTTTAAGGGCAGAAGAGAGAGTCACTCTCGGGCACCTCCACCAGGCTGCAAGAAGTGAGCGCGAACGCGGTTTGGTTGAGAAAGGGAATCTGATTTGGCCGAGCTACCAGATCCCACTCAGGCATCTCGGGAAAGATCCATCTGGTGTTCAGAATGGGTGATGAGGGAATAGTAGATCTGATCATTCCGTGTGGCTTAGGGGATGTGGATGACAGAATGGAAGGAGAAGTAGGGGGCGGAGCCAGGCCCTCCCTTAGCAGAACACCTATGTATAGCTGTGGCAAGGAAGAGCCAATGAGAACAAAATTTCAATCTACCTCGTGACTGCTGACGTCACTCAGCAACCATTGGTCCATCAGAGGCCCCTGCACGCGCCCTCTTAGAAGCTTAGGCGCCGGTGCTCCGTGCGAATGCTCACTCGTGTTTAGACCTGCTGCTTGGTTACCGGTCCCAACGGGAGGCTGTTGAGTGGTGCTGTTGTGGCAGAGAGGTTGGCTTTTCCAAAATGGTATCGAGTAATAGTCGGTCACACCGGCTTCAGAAGTGGTTAGGGTCCAAGGGGCCATGTGAGGGGACGGGCCTCTGAAGCTGCTGTCTTACAATGAAGCTTTTTGACTTTTGAGGGCAGAAGAGAGAGTCACTCTCGGGCACCTCCACCAGGCTGCAGGAGGCGAGCGCGGACGCGGTTTGGTTGAGAAAGAGAATCGGCTTTCCGCCGAGCTAGGAGATCCGACTCAGACAACTTGGGGAAGATCCATCAGGTTGCCAGAAATGGTGAGGAAAGAACACAGCTGTTCCTTCCCTGTGGCGTAGGGGTTGTGGATGACAGAGTGGATCAAGAAGTAGGGGGCGGATCAGGGACCAAGGACGCGAGCGCAGACGCGGTTGGGTTCGGGTGAGCGCACACGCAGTTGGGTTCGGAAAGAGAATTTGATTCCGCCGAGCTACCAGATCCGACTCAGGCATCTGGGAAAGATCCATGTGGTGGCCAGAGAGGGTGATGTGGGAATAGTAGAGCTGATCATTTCCCGTGTTGTACGGGAAGTGGATATCAGAATGGAAGGAGAAGTAGGGGGAGGAGCCAGGTCAACGCTTAGAAGAGAAGTGATGTATAGCCATGGCAACGAATAGCCAATGAGAACGAACTTTCAATTTACCTAGTGATTGCTGATGTCACTCAGCAACCATTGGTCCACCCGAGGCCCCTGCACGCGTCCTCTTAGAACGCTTGGGCGCCACGGTTCCGTCCGAATGCTCACTGGTGTTTAGACCTGCTGCTTGGTTAACAGTCCCAACGGGAGGCTTTTGAGTGGTGCTGTTGTGGCAGAGAGGTTGGCTTCTCCAAAATCGTATCAAGTAATATTCGCTCATACCAGCTTGAGAAGTGGGTAAGGGACAAGGGGCCAGGGGTGGGAACGGGCCTGTGAAGCTGTTCTTTTCTACCATGAAGAAGCTTATTGACTTTTGAGGTCAGAAGAGTGAGTCAGTCTCGGGCACCTCCACCAGGCTGCAGGAGGCGAGNGCATCGGGCTGACAGAAAGGGTGATGTGGAAAGAGTACAGCTGATCCTTCCGTGTGGCGTGAGAGTTGTGGATGACAGGGTGGATCGAGAAATAGGGGGCGGATCAGAGTCCAAGGAGGCGATCGCGATGCCGTTCCGTTGAGAAAGAGAATCGGCTTTCGGCTGAGCTAACAGATCTGACTCAGGCATCTTGGGAAAGATCCATCTGGTATCCAGAAAGGGTGATGTGGGAATAGTAGAGCTGATCGTTCCGTGTGGCGTATCGGACGTGGATGACAGAAGGGAAGGAGACGTAGGGGGCGGAGCCAGGACCAATGAGGCGATCGCCACGCCGTATGGTTGAGAAAGAGAATCGGCTTTCGGCCGAGCTACCAGATACGACTCAGGCATCTGGGAAAGATCCATCAGTCTGCCAGAAAGGGTGATGTGGGAATAGTAGNCCTTCAGGCCAACAGGGATTCACAGATGACCAGCACTGAGGAAGCCCAGAGGCTGGTGCTGAGGTTGGGAGTAAGAGGACAGAGCGGGCAGTGTAGCCAAGACCAAGCCACAGATGGTGGTTGCAGATAGGACCCTCTCAGGGAGGGGCTTGGACAGGGTTCTTGACCAATTCTGTGTCCAAATGTTGGGCTTGAAAAAGCACAACCTCAGCTCAGCTGTGGATTTATTTATTTTTTTAAGATGCCCGGCAAGGGGATCTTAACCCTTGACTTGGTGTTGTAGCTCCACGCTGTCCCAAGTGAGCTAACCGGCCATCCCTATACAGGGATCTGAACCCATGGCCTTGTTGTTATCAGCACCGCACTCTCCCAAGTGAGCCATGGGCCAGCCCTACAGCTGAGGAATTGATAACAACTTCCAAGGCTCCTTCACACCGTGAAGTTTCCAAACATACTTCCCAGTAACTTGGAGGTGAATCTCAGTCCCCAAAGATGCAACCTGAGCTCCCCCCCGGGCAGCAAATCTCTTATACCCTCCCTTCACACCCTGAAGCATTCGGTCCCTGCTACCGGATCCGATTCAGACATCAGGGAAAAAGGCATCATCCTGACAGAAAGGGTGATGTGGAAAGAGTACAGCTGATCCTTCCGTGTGGCGTAGGGGTTGTGGATGACCGGGTGGATCGAGAAATAGGGGGCGGATCAGGGTCCAAGGAGGCGATCGCGACGCCGTTCGGTTGAGAAAGAGAATCGGCTTTCGGCTTAGCTAACAGATCTGACTCAGGCATCTTGGGAAAGATCCATCTGGTGTCCAGAAAGGGTGATGTGGGAATAGTAGAGCTGATCGTTCCGTGTGGGCTATCGGACGTGGATGACAGAAGGGAAGGAGACGTAGGGGGCGGAGCCAGGATCAAGGAGGCGATCGCGAAGCCGTTCCGTTGAAAAAGAGAATCGTCTTTCGGCCGAGCTACCAGATCCGACTCAGGCATATGGGAAAGATCCATCAGTCTGCCAGAAAGGGTGATGTGGAAAGAGTTCTCCTTATCCTTCAGTGCTGCGTAGGGGACGTGGATGACAGAGTGGAAGGCGAAGTAGGGGGCGTTGCCAGGCCCAAGGTTAGGAAGATCTGATGTGTGGCCATGGCAACGAGTAGCCAATGAGAACGAACTTTCAATTTACCTAGTGATTGCTGATGTCAATCAGCAACCATTGGTCCACCCGAGGCCCCTGCACGCGTCCTCTAAGAACGCTTGGGCGCCAGGGCTCGGTCCGAATGCTCACTGGTGTTTAGACCTGCTGCTTGGTTACCGTTCCCAACGGGAGGCTTTTGAGTGGTGCTGTTGTGGCAGAGAGGTTGGCTTCTCCAAAATCGTATCGAGTAATATTCGCTCATACCGGCTTGAGAAGTGGGTAAGGGCCAAGGGGCCAGGTGAGCGGACGGGCCTCTGAAGCTAATGTCTTACAATGAAGAAGCATTTTGACTTTTGAAGGCAGAAGAGAGAGTCACACTCGGGCACCTCCACCAGGCTGCAAGAGGTGAGCGCGAACGCGGTTTGGTTGAGAAAGGGAAACTGATTGGGCCGTGCTACCAGATCCGTCTCAGGCATCTCGGGAAAGATCCATCTGGTGTCCAGAATGGGTGATGAGGGAATAGTAGAGCCGATCATTCCGTGTGGCTTAGGGGATGTCGATGACAGAATGGAAGGAGATGTAGGGGACGGAGCCAGGCCCTACCTTAGGAGAACACCTATGTATAGCCATGGCAAGGAAGAGCCAATGAGAACGAAATTTCAATCTACCTAGTGACTGCTGACGTCACTCAGCAACCATTGGTCCGCCCGAGGCCCCTGCACGCGCACTCTTAGAAGCTTAGGCGCTGGTGCTCAGTGCGAATGCTCACTCGTGTTTAGACCTGCTGCTTGTTTACCTGTCCCAACGGGAAGGTTTTGAGTGGTGCTGTTGTGGCAGAGAGGTTGGATTCCCAAAACCGTATAGATTAATATTCGCTCATACCGGCTTCAGCAGTGGTTAGGGGCCAAGGGGCCATGTGAGGGGACGGGCCTCTGAAGCTGCTGTCTTCCAATGAAGAAGCTTTTTGACTTTTGAGGGCAGAAGAGAGAGTCACTCTCGGGCACATCCACCAGGCTGCAGGAGGCGAGCGTGGACGCGGTTTGGTTGAGAAAGAATATCGGCTTTGGGCCGAGCTAGGAGATCCGACTCAGAGAACTTGGGAAAGATCCAACAGGTTGCCAGAAAGGGTGATGTGGAAAGTGCACAGCTGATCTTCGGTGTGGCGTAGGGGTTGTGGATGACAGAGTGGATCAAGAAGTAGGGGTCGGATCAGGGGCCAAGGACGCGAGCGGAGACGCGGTTGGGTTTGGAAAGAGAATTTGATTCCGCCGAGCTACCAGATCCGAATCAGACATCTGGGAAAGATCCATCAGGCTGCCTGAAAGGGTGATGTGGGAATAGTAGAGCTGATCCTTCCCTGTGGCATACGGGACGTGGATGACAGACTGGAAGGAGACTTGGGGGCGGAGCCAGGACCAAGGAGGCGATCGTGACTTGGTTCGGTTGAGAAAGAGAATCAGATTGCGGCTGAGCTACCAGATCCGACTCAGACATCTTGGGAAAGATCCATCTGGTGGCCAGAGAGGGTGATGTGGGAATAGTAGAACTGATCATTTCGCGTGGCGTAGGGGTAGTGGATTTCTGAATGTAAGGAGAAGTAGGGGGAGGAGCCAGGTCAACGCTTAGAAGAGAAGTGATGTATAGCCATGGCAACGAATAGCCAATGAGAACGAACTTTCAATTTACATAGTGATTGCTGATGTCACTCAGCAACCATTGGTCCATCCGAGGCCCCTGCACGCGTCCTCTTAGAACGCTTGGGCGCCACGGCTCGGTCCGAATGCTCACTCGTGTTTAGACCTGCTGCTTGGTAACCGGTCCCAACGGAAGACCTTTGAGTGGTGCTGTTGTGGCAGAGAAGTTGGCTTCTCCAAAATCCTATCGAGAAATATTCGCTCATACCGGCTTGAGAAGTGGGAAAGGGACAAGGGGCCAGGGGTGGGGACGGGCCTGTGAAGCTGCTCTTTTCTACCATGAAGAAGCTTATTGACTTTTGAGTGCAGAAGAGATAGTCACTCTCGGGCACCACCACCAAGAAGTGGGTAAGGGACAAGGGGCCAGGGGTGTGGACGGGCCTCTGAAGCTGCTCTTTTCTACCATGAAGAAGCTTATTGACTTTTCCGGACAGAAGAGTGAGTCAGTCTCGGGCACCTCCACCAGGCTGCAGGAGGCGAGGGCGGACGCAGTTTGCTTGAGAAAGAATCGGCTCTCGTCTGAGCTAGGAGATCCGACTCAGACATCTTGGGAAAGATCCATCTGGTGGCCAGAAAGGGTGCTGTGGAAAGAGTATGGCTGATCCTTCGGCGTGGCTGAGTGGTTGTGGATGACAGAGTGGAAGGAGAAGTAGGGGGCGGAGCCGGGCAGTGAAGGCCGGTGGGGAGGAGGCGAGGTGGATGAGGGAGAAAGCACACGTTTCTGGGCTCTCCATGGCTGGGCCTGTGTTCTCCTGCCACCGATGATCCTAGGCTTTCCTCCCTCCATATATTCCTTAGAAGGTGGGACGGAGAAATGTTGCTGGGTTTGAGTGCCCAAATCGTGTATCGGTGCAGCCAAACATAAACAAAACTTTCGCTGGTGTTGATGCCTTTAGAATTCTCTTCTGAAAGTACTTTATTTTATTTATTTAATTATTTACTCTTATTTTTTAAAAAGATGACCGGTAAGGGGATCTTAACCCTTGACTTGGTGTTGTCAGCACCACGCTCAGCCAGTGAGCGAACCGGCCATCCCTATACGGGATCCAAACCGGGGGCCTTGGTGTTATCAGCACAACACTCTCGAGTGAGCCAGGGGCCGGCCCAGAAAGCACTTTATTGAAGACCGCAAAGTGACTTAACTATAAAAATGAAGTCCATAGAGCGTATTATTTGTCAAGTACATTTTTTGAAACACCCTTAAGGAATGACAGTTAAAAGAAAGTGCGTGGGTTGTATAATTCTCATGATACATCATGTTCTGGGGCTGAAAATTCTTTGAATCAACTCCCATATGCATTGTAAATCAGGCTACACCTATTCCTATGTGTTTCTTATTGAAGGATGGGAGAAGGAAAGCCTCAACCTGAGGAAGATAGCTCCACATTGTTGTATAGGGAAACTCGTGGATTTACATCAGGTGTGCTGATTTAAACTGTCACTAGCAACAGGAGTGTACAGCTTTTATTGCAAACTTACCAGCATTTGCAGAGTGTAATTTTTTTTTTTTTTTGGCAGCTGGCCAAAAAAAAAAAAGTATGGGGATCCAAATACTTGACCTTGGTGTACTTAGCCCACGCTCTACCAAGCGAGCTAAACAGCCAGCCCCAGACTAATTTTTAAAATATCAGTTGAAATATAATCTATATACCATCAAATTCACCCCGATTAAGTGTACAATTCAGAGGAGGTTTTTTGTTTGTTTGTTTGTTTTTTGTAATGATCCGAGCCCATGGCCTTGGTGTTAGCAGCACCACACTCTCCCGAGTGAGCCACGGGCTCNTTAGGACGCTTGGGCTCCAGAGCTCGGTGCGAATGCTCACTCGTGTTTAGACCTGCTGCTTGGTTACCGGTCCCAACGGTAGGCTTTTGAGTGGTGCTGTTGTGGCAGAGAGGTTGGCTTCTCCAAAATCGTATCGAGTAATATTCGCTCATACCGGCTTGAGAAGTGGGTTAGGGACAAGGGTCCAGGGGTGGAGACGGGCCTCTGAAGCTGCTCTTTTCTACCATGAAGAAGCTTTTTGACTTTTGAGGGCAGAAGAGTGAGTCAGTCTCGGGCACCTCCACCAGGCTGCAGGAGGCGAGGGGGGACGCAGTTTGCTTGTGAAAGAATCGGCTTTGGTCCGAGATAGGATATCCGACTCAGACATCTTGGGAAAGATCCAACCGGTGGCCAGAAAGGGTGCTGTGGAAAGAGTACAGCTGATCCTTCGGTGTGGCTTAGGGGTTGTGGATGACAGAGTGGAACGAGAAGTAGGGGGCGGAGCCAGGCAGTGAAGGCCGGTGGGGAGGAGGCGAGGTGGATGAGGGAGAAAGCACACGTTTCTGGGCTCTCCATGGCTGGGCCTGAGTTCTCCTACCACCGATGATGCTAGGTTTTCCTCCCTCCATACATTCCTTAGAAGGTGGGACGGAGAAATGTTGCTGGGTTCGAGTGCCCAAACCGTGTATCGGTGCCGCCAAACATAAACAAAACTTTCCCTGGTTTCTGATGCCTTTAGAATTTTCCTCAGAAAGCACTTTATTTTATTTATTTAATTATTTATTTTTATTTTTTTTAAAGATAACCGGTAAAGGGATCTTAACCCTTGACTTGGTGTTGTTAGCACCACGCTCAGCCAGTGAGCGAACCGGTCATCCCTATATGGGATCCAAACCCGGGGCCTTGGTGTTATCAGCACCACACTCTCCCGAGTGAGCCACGGGCCGGCCCAGAAAGCACTTTATTGAAGACCGCGAAGTGACTTAACTATCAAAATGAAGTCCATAGAGCGTATTATTTGTCAAGTACATGTTTTGAAACACCTTTAAGGAATGTAAGTTAAAAGAAAGTGCGTGGGGTGTATAATTCCCATGATACATCAAGTCCTGGGGGCTGAAAATTCTTTGAATCAACTCCCATGTGCATTGTAAATCAGGCTACGCCTATTCCTTTGTGTTTCTTACTGAAGGATGGGAGAAGGAAAGCCTCAACATGAGGAAGATAGCTCCACATTGTTTTATAGGGAAACTCGTGTATTTAAATCAGGTGTGCTGATTTAAACTGTCACTAGCAACAGGAGTGTAGATCTTTTATTGCAAACTTACCAGCATTTGCAGAGTGTATTTATTTTAATTTTAATTTTTTTTTTGCAGCTGGCCAAAAAAAAAAAAAAGTATGGGGATCCAAATACTTGACCTTGGTGTACTTAGCACCACGCTCGACCAAGCGAGCTAACCAGCCATTTCCAGACTAATTTTAAAAATATCAGTTGAAATATAATCTATGCACCATCAAATTCACCCCTATTAAGTGTATAATTCAGTGGAGGTATTTTGTTTGTTTGTTTGTTTGTTTGTTTTTTTATAATGATCCGAGCCCATTGCTTTGGTGTTATCAGCACCACACTCTCCCAAGTGAGCCACGGGCTCGCCCCAATTCAGTGGTTTTTTAGTATATTCACAGAGTTATGCAACCATCACTACTATCTTATTCCAGAATATTGTGTCACCCTTAAAAAAAGCTTGGTACCCTTTAGCAGTCATTCCCCATTTCCTCTCTCTCAACTGCTGGCAACCACTAATCTACTTTCTGTCTCCAGTCAACTTCCTGTCAAATCTATAGATTTGCCTATCCTGGACATCTCATATAAATGGAATCGTATAATATGTGGCTTTTTTGTCTGACTTCTTTCACCTAACATGACGTTGTCACACCTAACCTGATGTTGTCGAGGTTTATCCATGCTGTAGCTTATATTAATGCTTCATTCCTTTTTATGGCTGGATAGCCAGTTATATAGATACACCGCATTTTGTTTCATCAGTTGATAGACATTTGGGTTGTTTTCACTTTTTTGGCTATTATGGATAATCCTGCTATGAACATTCGTGTATAAGTTTTTGTGTAAACATATGCTTTAATTTCTCTTGGTGAAAAAGGTAGGAGCAGAATTGCTGGGTCATGTGGTTTGAACTCTGAGTTTAATCATTTGAGACACTGCCCGGACTGTTTCCCAAATTGGCTGTACCACTTTCTATTTCCCTTTAGCAATGTATGAGATTCCAATTTCCCCACATCCTTCCTGCCACCTTAGTGGGTGTGAAGTTGTATCTTATTTTGATTTGCATTTCCCTAAAGACTAAAGTTGTTGAGCATCTTTTCATGTGCTTATTGGCCAATTTGACATCTTCTTTGGAGAATATCTGTTAAAATCCTTTGCCCATTTTAAAATTGGATTATTTGTCTTTTTATTTTTGAGTTGTTCGAGTACTTTCCACATTCTGGATCCAAGTTCCTTATCAGATATATGATCTGCAAATATTTTCTCCCATTCTATCTCTTCACTTTCCTGGTGGTGTCCTTTACAACAAAAAAGTTTTTTTTTGTTTTGATGAAGTTCAATATATTGTTTGTTTTGTTGCTTGTGCTTTTGCTGGAGTGTCTAAGAAATGATTGCCTAATCCAAGGTCACAAAGATTTAGTCCTACATTTTGTTCTAAGAATTTGCATGTGGTTATCCAGATATCCCCCTGTCATTTGTTGAAAAACTGTATTCCCTATTGAATTGTCTTGGCACCTTTGTTCAGAATCAAATTGAGGGCCAGCCTGTGGCTTACTTGGGAGAGTGTGGTGCTGACAACACCAAGTCAAGGGTTAAGATCCCCCTACCGGTCATCTTTCTTTTTCTTTATTTTATTTTTATTTTATCAGTATATAAAGTAGTTGATTATTATGTCCAATCTTGGAAACCTCCGTCCCGCTTCCCTCTCCCCTCTCCCACCCAAGTGTGTCCCCTCCATTTGCTTGTTGTACGAACTTAAAAAAAAAATTGTTCTTATGTCTTCCTCTCCCCCACCCCCCGGTTTTTTTGTTTTGTTTTGTTGTTGTTGTTGTTGTTTGTTTGTTTGTTTTTGTGTGTAAGAGTGTGTGTGTGTGTGTGTATGTATTTGTGTAAATTGATTCATTCACCTTTAGCTCCCTCCAATAAGTGAAAACATGTGGTATTTCTNTTCACCCCTATTAAGTGTACAATTCAGTGGAGGTTTTTTGTTTGTTTGTTTGTTTGTTTTTTATAATGATCGGAGCCCATGGCCTTGGTGTTATCAGCACCACACTCTCCCAAGTGAGCCACGGGCTCGCCCCAATTCAGTTGTTTTTTGGGGGGGTCACAGAGTTATGCAACCATCACTACTATCTTATTCCAGAATATTGTGTCACCCTTAAAAAAAGCTTGGTACCCTTTAGCAGTCACTCCCCATTCCCTCTCTCTCAACTGCTGGCAACCACTAATCTACTTTCTGTCTCCAGTCTACTTCCTGTCAAGTCTATAGTTTTGCCTATTCTGGACATCTCATATAAATGGAATCGTGTAATATGTGGCTTTTTTGTCTGACTTCCTTCACCTAACATGATGTTGTCGAGGTTTATCCATGCTGTAGCTTATATTAATGCTTCATTCCTTTTTATGGCTGGATAGTCGGTTATATTGATACACCACATTATGTTTATTCATTCATCAGTTGATAGACATTTGGGTTGTTTTCACTTTTTTGGCTATTATGGATAATCCTGCTATGAACATTCGTGTATAAGTTTTTGTGTAAACATATGCTTTAATTTCTCTTGGTGATAAAGGTAGGAGCAGAATTGCTGGGTCATGTGGTTTCAACTCTGAGTTTAATCATTTGAGAAACTGCCCAGAATGTTTCCCAA